TAACAGAAACAGCTGCGTGTGTCTGGCTGCGGCCCAGCGGAGAAAAATCCTCCGTATGAAATAAACGGTCAGATTTCATTCAGTCCTGCCAAAAAAACAGGACGTGAACATATCAGAGCCATGTCCCCATGTCCCTTCGTTTGGTGAGGAAAAAGGCCAGCAACGTGTTTCTGAAAGGCTTCTGTGTCGTCTATAAATAGAGTTTTGTTTTTTGAGGCGCAGTGATTTTAACGGCAGTCACAGGCAGCTGGATTTCTTCTCTTGAGATCTTTAACAGAGAAAAATATTCACAATTTCTCAACACAACAACACACCTGCTGACAGAGAGACGTTCACATTCTTGTTTTGCTTTTCTTAAAATGTTCTCAGATTTGCAAGATATCACATATCAAGTTTGCATTTGCAAAACTCAGAGAATATGTTTTAAAAATTTTATTTTTATTTGCATTATTATTGCATTATTTGCATATTAATTTTTATTATTAGATTTTTTAGTTGACATAAGTATTGTATTAATTTTATTTGCATTGGTATTTTTTAACTTGACATGATTTTCCTATTTTTTACTTGCATGCATATTTTTTTACTTGACATGAATATTCTAATACTTTTATTTGCATTTGTATATTATTTTTTTTACTTGACATGATTATTATATTTTTGTACTTGCATAAATATTCTAATTTTTTACTTGCATTATAACTGTAAAATATTTTTATAAAATTATACAAAATATTTTTTTATTTGCATGAATATTCGAATATTTTTTACTTGCATAAATATTCGTTTTTTTTATTTGCTTATTCTAATAACTTTGCCTAAAGATTCCAATTTTTTTGTACTTGGCTAGATATATTAGATATATTCTATACTTGTGTTTTGTTCGTAAGCTCTCTTCTATCTGTATTTTCAACTTAAGAGCAGAAAGGTAATGTAGTTAGATTTCGATATGAACTTTATTGTCTCATTTGTTTTTATTTCTCAGAAATTTGAGAATGTTGTAACTAGAGTCTGTGAGCTTTGAAAGAGAAACCTCTGAGCAATAACATTTTCCTCTGTCTGTCATCAAATTCTTTCCACATTTTCGTCCTCGGTTTTTCCTCTCCATCCTCTCCTCCAGCACAGCATCTGTTTCTCTCTTTACCTCCGCGGCGTCTATTTCATGCTGATGTCTTGAGCGGCGCTCGATGGTTCGGCCCTGTTTGTTTGCGCTGTTTACAAAGAACTTTTGTTTGATGCCGTCGGCTCAGATAAAGCCCGTCTCTCTCTCTCTTTCTCAGACGTTCCCAACATTCCTGTCAGGAAATATTTGGCTGGAAACAACAGCAGAAAGAATC